TGCCAGAATCCAAAACAGATAAGCCCTGTTTGGGAAAAAAAAAAAAAATCAAACACCTCTACTAAACACCTAAGCAGGGTTTCTCTGTGTGCAATCCTGGCTATCCTGGAACTCTCTGTACACCAGCCTATGTCTGCCTCCCAAGGGCTGGGATTAAAGGCTTGTACCACCACCACCACCTGGCATCAGTTTTTATACTTTACATATAAAATCACCCTCCCAAATGGACTCATCTGTTGGAGGCTCGGTCCCCAGCTGGGGCGTCTCTCGATAGGGAGGGTACTAACTTGGCTCCTTTATTAGTCTATTGATGAGCTTATGGCTGGGTGGGTTCAAAGGAGTCTGGACATTGTTGGAGGAAGTAGGTCACTGGGAAGTTTGCATGTATTTGGCCCTCATAAGCTCATAGGAAATGGCACTGTTAGGAGGTGTGGCTTTGTTGGAGGAAGTGAGGTCTTGCTGGAGGAGGCTGGGTGACACAGCCTTTAATTCAGATTTTGAGGCTAGAGGGCACACCTTTAATCTGGGCCACGCCTTTTGTTGGAAGTGTGTCTCTGTGGGGGTGGGATTTGAGGTTTCATAGACTCAGAAACTATCCACTTAGTCGACTCCCTGTAGCCTGCAAGACGTAGGGCACTTGGCTATTTCTCCAGTATCAAGTCTGCCTGCACGCTGCCAAGCTCTCCACCATGATGGACTGAACCTCGGAACTGTTAAGTGAGCCCCCTCAATGAAATGCTTTCTTTATAAGAGTTGCTGTGGGGTTGGAGAGAATGACACAGCCTTTAATTCAGATTTTGAGGCTGGAGGGCACACCTTTAATCTGGGCCACACCTTTTGTTGGAAGTGTGTCTCTGTGGGGGTGGGATTTGAGGTTTCATATACTCAGAAACTATCCACTTAGTCGACTCCCTGTAGCCTGCAAGATGTAGGGCACTTGGCTATTTCTCCAGTATCAAGTCTGCCTGCACGCTGCCAAGCTCTCCACCATGATGGACTGAACCTCGGAACTGTTAAGTGAGCCCCCTCAATGAAATGCTTTCTTTATAAGAGTTGCTGTGGGGTTGGAGAGATGGGTCAGAGGTTAAGAGCACTGACTGTTCTTCCAGAGGTCCTGAGTTCAATTCCCAGCAACCACATGGTGACTCACAACCATCTGTAATGAGATCTGGTGCCCTCTTCTGGTGTGCAGATATACATGGAAGCAGAATGTTGGATAAATAATAAATAAATAAAGTCTGTTAAAAAAAAAAAGAGTTGCTGTTGTCACAGTAATAGTAAAGCTTACCTAAGATAGGTACATCTTGCCACAAGCCCTTCCTCTGTACTCTCTCTGCTTCCCCAGCTGCCATGGATCATGACCTCCTTGCCATGAAGCCACGTAACCATGAACTGAACTGTCTCAAACAGTGAGCCCAATAGCTCTAACCTCCTGATTGCCAGGTTTTGTCACATTAACAAGAAGTCACTGTCACACCTGCCCACTTGAACAGCTTTTCCTAGCCATAAACATGCTAAGAAAACTCACATTGGCAGGTGGCTGAGCCTATTTTCTATGTTTAGTATCTTATATGACCTATGGGGTCCTGAGCTCAAAGTGACAGAATGGTTCTCTGTGAGTTCGAGGCCAGCCTGGGCTATATAGCCAATTCCAGAACAGACAAGGCTATAGAGTGAGACCTATCTCAAAACAAACAAGCAAAGCCAGGTGTTTGTGGCGCACACATTTAATCCCAGCACATGGGAGGCAGAGTCAGGTGGATCTCTGTGAATTCGAGGCCATCCTGGTCTGCAGAGCGAGTTCCAGGACAGCCAAGGCTACACCGAGAAACCCTGTCTCAAAAAACCAACCAACCAACCAACCAATCAAGCAAACATTTTGTGTGAGGAAGGTGCTCTCCTTGCCTCCACCCAGCACGGCAGCTGTGTCACCAGACAAAAGAGCAAAGTTAAAATGCACAGTTTTGCTGAAACTGTATGGCTTCTTAGGAATAGAAAGATGGCTCGGTGATGAAGAGCCCTGGCTGCTCTTCCCAAGAACCCTGGACCAATTCCCAGCACCTACGTGACAACTCACAACTTTCTGTAATTCTAGTCTCAGGGAATTTGACCCCTCTTCTGGACTCCTCTCACACTGTACACATGGTACACATACATGCATTCAAGCAAAACCCATACACATGAAATAAAGTATCTAGAGGTTGGGCAGTGGTGCGCACACCTTTAATCCCAGCACTCAGGAGGCAGAGTCAGGCAGATCTCTGTGAGTTCGAGGCTAGCCTGGTCTACAGAGTGAGTTCCAGGATAGGCTCCAAAGCTACACAGAGAAACCTAACTCAAAAAAACAAAACAAGACAAAAAAGTATCTAGAAAAGACCACAATGCCCTTTGGAGCCTGTCCTGGCACTCACACTGTGGACCAGGCTGGCCTTGAACTCACATATATCTTCCTGCCTCTGACTCGCAAGTGTAGGGATTAAAGACGTGCACTACTACTGCCCGGCCACAGTACCCTTTCTTTTTCTTCCTATTTTTGTTGTTTTTTGAGACAGGATTTCTCTGTGTAACCCTGACCATCCTGGAACTTACTTTGTAGAGTAGGCTGGCCTTGAACTCAGAGAGATCCCCCTGCCTCTGCCTCTTGAGTGGTGGAACTAAAGGCGTGCACTACCACTCCCAGTTCTCTCTCCTCCATTCTTCCCTCTTTCTCTCTTCCATAAGATTAAAAAAAATTATTTTGATCCCAGCACTCGGGAGGCAGAGGCAGGCGGATCTCTGTGAGTTCGATGCCAGCCTGGTCTCCAGAGCAAGTACCAGGATAGGCTCCAAAGCTACATAGAGAAACCCTGTCTCGAAAAACAAAAAACAAAAAATAATTATTTTGGGCTGGAGAGATGGCTCAGAGGTTAAGAGCACTGATTGTTCTTCCAGAGGTCCTGAGTTCAATTTCCCCCAACCACATGGTGACTCACAACCATCTTAAATGAGATCTGGTGCCCTCTGCTGGCATGCAGGCAGAAGACTGTATACATAACAAATAAATAAAATCTTTATGGGCTGGAGAGATGGCTCAGAGGTTAAGAGTACTGGCTGCTCTTCCTGAGGATCAGGGTTCAATATCCAGCACCCACATGACAGCTCACAACTGTCTTGTAACTCATTTCCAAAGGATCTGACACCAATCAGTGCTCATAAAATAAAAATAAATAAATTAAAAAAAAAACTATTGTAGTTTTTTGGTTTTTCAAGACAGGTTTCTCTGCAGCTTTGGAGGTTGTCCTGAAACTTGCTCTGTAGACCAGGCCTCAAACTCACAGAGATCTACCTGCCTCTGCCTCTCAAGTGGTTACACTCGCCTTTAATCCAGCACTTGGGAGGCAGAGGCAGACAGATGTCTGTGAGTTCGAGACCAGCCTAGTCTATAAGAACTAGTTCCAGGACAGCCAGGGCTACACAGAAAAACCCTGTCTTGAAAAAAAAAAATTATTTTATGTTTTTGTAGAGGGTACTGGATTCCCTAGAACTAGAGGTACAGACAGTTGTGAGCTGGCATGTAGGAGCTAGAATTGAACTCAGGCCCTCTGAAGAACAGTCAGTGCTCTCAATCACTGAGCCATCTCTCCAGCCCCCACCCTTTCTTCTTTCATTCTTCCTATTTCTTCTATCTACTGATTGTTGAAGTCAGCAGATAGTTGGGGGAGAGGACAAGATTCAGCCCTCTCACTCCTTAGAGTGTGTGTCTCCTTCTATTTGGAAAAAAAACAAAAACAAAAAACCAAAAACTTAAGTCTGTAATGTGTTTTCTGAAGACTCCACCCTCCCCTATCCTGAGGAAGGCACTTCTGGATGTTGTAATTCTGTTTATGCCCATCAGATGGCAGAAGCTCATTGACATCAGTAAGAGTGAGCCCTGTTGCCACACTAAGGGTTAAGAGAACTGGCTGGAAGAACCACGTACTGGGGAAGCAACTGGCCTTCCTAGTCTGGGTGGGGGATGACTCACCCCAGAGTGGCCCATCAGAATTTCAGGGCTCACTCTGGTCACAGAAGGTTCTTTGTGGCAAGAGAACTTGAGGAACCACAGCAGATCAATGCCCAGCACCACGTGAGGTAGATTCAACTGTGTGGTTGGAGCAACCAGTATTACCCAAGGAAAAGCTCTGCTTTTCCCATGTGCCAAGTCAAAACAATCCTACCATCACATAAATTCATAGTGAACAGTGATACAGCATAGCTCCTTAGTCTGGTACCTGGCATGCAGACGGCTGAGCTCCAATCCCTTATCAAAAGAAGCCTGTGACCTGGGCTCCTCCCATCCAGGCTGCTACCTCAGGAGGGTACTGAGTGCCCATCAAACCCAGATGCCCAGCCTCATGGACCCAGGAGCTACCTGAGCTCTAAGCTGCTCATCTTCCTGGGTGGAAAACTCTGTCCGACAGTGCAGAGGGACGTCCATCTCAGCCACAATCTCACCAATCCTCTGTTGCATGGCCACACACTCCTCTGCGGTCAAGAATCCTTCCAACAGCAGAAACCCATCCTCCTGAAACTGCAGGCAGAAATGAGACTCGGGATTCTTTCTACCCTTACCCATTCCTTATAATCCATGTTTGACCACAAATCTGAACCAAGATCAAGTGTCCTGCTGCTCTGTCCCCTATCTTGGATATGTGTGTCTGGTGCTCAATGAACGAGCACAGTCAATACAGGTTGCTTGGATCTTAGAAAGGAAAGGGAAGCGGAGGTTGTCTCTGCTTTTGGCCTCCAGTGGGTTTGGGACATGGAAATACAATATTTTTTTGCTTACACATTTATGTGTAAATGTGTCAGTTTGAGTACAGATCACGTGTGTGTGTGTCTGCGTGTGTGTCTGTGTGTGCATGCGTGTGTGTCTCTGTGTCTGTGTGTGCATGTGTGTGTGTCTGTTTGTGCATGCGTGTGTGTCTGTGTGTGTCTGTGTGTGCATGTGTGTGTGTCTGTTTGTGCATGCGTGTGTGTCTGTGTGCTCGAGTGTCTGTGTGTGCATGTGTGTGTGTGTGTGTGTGTGTGTGTGTGTATGTTTGCAAGTGTGCATGTTTATGCATGACCCCTCTACCACCCTTTCCATTCCTGAGGAAGCCACTCTCCTTGAGCCTGGAGTTATGTCTTCTTCACTAGACTGATAGCCTGTAAACCCTAGCATTCCTGTCTCCACCCAGAAGGAGGGCTTACAGGAATGTGCAGGTTAAGTGAGTGCTGAGATTCAAACCCTGGTCCTCAGGACTGCACAAGAGTTCCTAACCACTGAGCTTTCTAGGCCCCTTCTTTTGTTTTGTTTTGTTTGTTTGCTTGAAGATAGAGTATCTGGGGCTGGAGAGATGGCTCAGTGGTTAAGAGCACCAACTGTTCTTCCAGAGGTTCTGAGTTTAATTCTCAAAAACCACATGGTGGCTCACAACCACCTTGAATAAGATCTGGTGCCCTCTGTTGGCCTGCAGGTAGAAGACTGTATACATAATAAATAAATAGGGATTGCAAAGCCTCTGGACACTGGAAGAACATGAGAAACTGGGAAGGGATGGAGCACAGGGTGAGGAGGGGGCTGGATGAGCCAACGGGAAGGAGGCAGGGCTGGGGCAGAGAGAGATGGCCTTTCTCCTGAGTCTAGTGGGAAGCTGGTGGGGTGAACACAGAGGACTCATTCTGATGTAGGCCTGTCTTTTTATTCTGAGAAACATACAATGAAGAAGGGCATCTGAAGGGCTGGGATGTCATCCGGGAGTGACTGACTGCCCAACATGTACAAGGCCCTGGCATTGGAAAAGAAAACTAAATAAAACTAAGGGTCAGAAGCAAAGATGAGCTGGGTGTGGTGGCCCATGTCTTTTAATTCCAGCACTCTGGAGGCAGAGGCAGGCTGATCTCTTAGTTTGAGGCCCGTTGGATCTACATAGTGAGTTCCAAGACAGCCAAGGCTACACAGAGAAACCCTGGGGTTGGGGGGAGGTGATACTGACAAGGGCCTCTGTCCCTGGATACTGTGAGATATGAAAAAAGGACTGATTTCCAGTGAGTATTTAGCCACAGATAAGCAACAGTGGTAGTTGTCATGAGAGAGTAGAGTGTGTGAGTGTGCGCGCGCGTGTGCATGTGTGTGTGTGTGTGTGTGTGTGTGTGTGTGTGTGTGTGTGTGTGTTGGAATCTATCAGGGCCACCAGCAAGCACTCAACTACTAAGCTACAACAACAGCTCCAGGAGGGACTTTGAAACAAGGATCCAAAGGAAGGCTAGATCTAAAACATTAACAGTCTTGACATTTGAATTCATGGGTGGATATTTTAAAGAGTGTGTATTCCAACTCCTAACCCCTATATGACAGGCTTTCATAATGGGACTGACCTATCTACTGGCCTATCCCCATGTAGTTTCCCTGCCTTCCTCAATAGGCCCCAGGGCTGGCTGGATTGACTAATCTGAATTCTGACTTCTCTACCCCCTACCCCAAATGCCCCCCCCATACCCTACCTGGGGTGGAGGGTTGTCTGTGATCTCTCCGATTCAGGCTATATACACAGAATTTAGGGTTTATGCCCTGGGAACCTTCTCTTCTTTGTGAAATGTCAGCGGTAGGCTAAATCCAAGGGTCACTAAAGAGGTCTACACCCTCTCCAGCTGTAGGCCCCTACCTTTTTGAGCTGAGAGGGACTCAGGCAGGCCATGGGGACAAGACACTGCTGGCTCAGGGTGCTGACTCCAGGGCTGGAGAGGAGGAAGTTCAGGAAGAGACCAGTGAGGAAGTCCAGAAGGGCTTAACTCTTAACTACCCAGAAAACAGCTCCACCCTCCCCAACAGTCCAGTCCTGTCTGTGCCTTCCATTCAGGGCCCAGCCCCGCCCCTTATCCCTCCCCTACGATTTCTGATCATTGAAATGGACTTGGTCTCTCTCTGCCAGCCCAGCTTCCTGTTAATCCAGGGCTAACCTTCACCTGTTCCCCTTCATGTAGTCTGTGCTTCCTTGATACCTCCAGTTCTGTCTAGAATCCACTCCTGGGTGGTACTGGGAATTGTTATTTAATGTGGGGCAAGTAGAAGACAGCCAGAATACTGAAGTCACTATTAATATGAAGAAGGTAAAGGCATGAAAGTCCCCAGCCACGGGATCTAAATTTACCGAGGTGGGGTCTATGGGACTGAGTGGCCTAAGAGGTCCTAGGAAAATAACTCTGTGTGCTCCAACTTTGATTTGAAGCTCTATCTAGATGCTGGGAGAAAGACTGGAGCCACGCTGAGGCAGGGCAGATGGGGGGTTACTGGGGCCTCAGAATGTTTTCTGTTTTCCAGCCTCAAATCCAGGATGGCTGGTGTCTACAGAGGGGCTGGCAGGGTAGTCAGAACCACCTGCTGGCTCTGCAGCTGACAGGGGTATTGGGCTCTAAAAAGCTGTCCACTGGCTTTCCCAGAAATGGTGCTTTGAACAGCCAAGGGACAGAGTGTCTCAGGAGTAAGCAAGGGGACACTGCTCAGCCTTGGCTCCAGATCAAGTGTTTTCTGGGCCACAACCCTGGGAGCTGCAGCCTTGTCTAGGCTGTGCAGGCTTCAAGAAAGCCAGCAAGGGCTGTGCACAGTGGGCAGAGGCTGATGGAAATTCTCCTGGATCAGGCTGGGGAAGGCCCCAGAGACAGAACAGGGAGAGTCACAAGGCAGGGCATGCAGAACTAGTCCTTTCTGATGCAACCGCTGAGCAAAAACAGACACCCAACCAAGTTCCAGGAACATGAGTGGAGAGAGCCCCTACTGCTGAGCCAGCAGTGGCCTGGAGACCTCACCAAAGGCTGGGGGCAGGGGCTCCGCCAGGCAGGCGCCTGGCCCTGGTGGTGGGGATCCAGCCCTTACTTTCTGCAGTTGCTGATAACAGGACCCCAGTGTACAACAAGTAGTAGTCATCACTGATAAGAAGCCTGGCCTGGGGCTAGTGCCTAGGAGGTACCTCCCAACTGGTTCATCCAATGCTGGCCGAATGAGGGTGAAGTGGTGAAGGGGGTGGAACTGTTTTGTTTTTAAAACTATTTTTCAGTTTCTCCAAGTATTCTAATTTTTTTTTGGGGGGGGGCAGGGTTGAGACAGAGTTTCTCTGTGGCTTTGGAGCTGTCCTGGCACTAGGTCTTGTAGACCAGGCTGGTCTTGAACTCACAGAGATCTACCTGCCTCTGCCTCTGCCTCTGCCTCCTGAGTGCCGGGCTTAAAGGCATGCGCCGCCGCCGCCGCCGCCGCCGCCACCGCCACCACCACCCAGCCAGTTTCTCCAAGTTTTCTAAGCTGTTTTTGTAAGTAGAGGTTAGGCCACCACTGTGGTTTCAGGTAGAGTGGAGAGGTAGGGATGAGGGGGTGGGATAAGGAGCCTCCATTCTAGTCATTCTGCTGGCCTTGAGGGGAGGGTGTGCTGTGTTTTCACATCATTCTTCCTGAGAAGCTAACCAGTTCCAGATTGAATTTTCCAGGACTGACTGAAGGTCTCTCCCAATCCCCACCCCTACCCAGGGTGGATAAGGGACCAGATCAGCCAGACCAGAGCACAGGAAGTTCCCCACCTGAAGGTATGAAAGAGGATCTTCAGCAAGTTGAGCCCACTGTCTGCTAGAAGCCCACAAGGGCAGGTCTGAGGGGCTAGTCCCTGTGGGCCAAGGGAGACAGGCTCTAGTCAGTTCCAGAAGAACTGCCCAAGCAACTCAGACCTCCTTACTAAAATCACACCTTGGCCTCTCTTCCTCACCTAAAGATTCCTCCTGATGGGCACATGGTCCAGAAGGAAGGTGGGAGACTGCTGTCCGGACACAGACTATGGCTTGAAACCCCAAAGCCATCTATTAAAAACTTAATTCCACTTATTTTGAGTTTTTTGATAAGCCCTCAAAATGGCCCTCTCTGCTTGTTCCATAGGTCTGGCTGGCCCATACTATGTAACCACATTGGCCTTGTCTCCTGGGAACCTTCCTGAGTCAGCTTCCAAACCTCTGAGATGACAATTGTGACTGTGGTACATCACTGATTTCAACAACCACAGGGAGGCAGAGCAGAGTGGGAAGTGTTTGGGTCCACTGGCATGAATGAGTTAATGCTTCTCCTGGCAACAGGCTAGCCCCACAGGTACAAACTCCTGTGATGTTAGGAAATGGCATGTACTCCTCACTGGATACGGCCATCAGATCCTGAACTTTTAGCCTCTGCAACTGTGAAGCTAAGGAAGCATTCTTCTACAGCTCACCCAGGAGTGAGGAATAGAGCTCAGTGGATGAAAAGAACACTTGTTCAGCATGTTCAAGGCCTTGGGCTCCATTCCCAGCAGTGCCTCCTCTGTCCTCCCCCCATCCATTGTTAGGTACTACAGCCACGGAGAATAGAAAGTGGACATTATATAGCCATGGCTCCTTTAAACAAGTCTGCCCATGCCATTATTATTCCAATTTTACAAACAAGAAAAAAAAGAAAAAAGAAACCAAGGGATGGGGGCAAACAAAAAATGAAGGGACCTAAGAGACTCAGTAGAGCTGAGATCTGAAGGCAATTCTACCTCTCAGCCCATCTGCCCTGGACCCCAAATGGGGCTGGGAGCCAGGGAGGCCTCCCTTGGTCACCGCCAGCCTTACCTTTGCAGAAACATGGATTCTTGTGTTGCAGCCCCAATCACCTTCTGAAAGCAGGATGGAAATACCTTTGGCACAGATAGGGATACAGAGGCCACAGAGGGGAGAGATGGGCTTAGCTTCATGCACAAGACAACTGGACTGGAACATGGATTTCTGGCTACTGGCTCCCATTCCAGATGACTCCCAGCCCCAACCAATCAAAGCTCATGAGGGCCCAAACAAAAGGTGCCTGGGACAACAGAAAACGCACTGGCCGCAAGATCCTTGGTCAGGAACCATGCCTGGAGCACACAGGTGCACAGCATCCTGCAACTGCCTCAAAGGAACTCTTAAGTTTCCCAGGGCAGAGAGGTGAACACAGCTACTGCCGGGGACCAAGAAATGGTTCCTCAACAAAATTGTCATCCAAGATCAAAACACCTCAGAGGAGTGAAGGGACAGACCCGCGCTCTATGGCATGGAGACCTCCAAAGACAACTGTGTTATAGATTTATTTGACAGTTGAACCGAGTCCATAAGTCAGACCCATGTGTAACGGATTGCTTCATGGTTGTCAGAGGCTAGTGTGCAGTATTTCCAAGGGTTACATCCAATGACACGACACAGAAAACACAAATGGACGGAAAGACAGATGTAATCATTAAGACAAGAGACGCTAAAACGTGCCCTAGTGTCCATGTGATTGATCTAAGGCGAGGACCCTTCTAAAGTGGGGACCCTAGTGATTGATCTAAAGCAGAGTGGCTTACTGCCACTAGGCGCTAACTATACTGTGTGAAACCAGGTGCCCAGTATGAAAACTATCTTGGAACCAAAAACTGGGGAACCTGCCTTCCCAGTGGTGACCTCTCCATGCCCAACTTGTCTCTAAATGTCTGTTCTTCACGAAGGACTAAATGGTGACAGAGCCGATGTAAGCAGCAGCAGAGGTGAGTGGTGGCACTGAGCAAACACATGATGTGGGGATAGAGTCCAGGGGAAGCAGCTGCTTGGGACTCCTTAACACTGTGCAAGAGGGGCATCATAAGGTTGGGGACAAGGAAGGAGCACCGTTCATCTGGGGATTAGCCAGCCCAAGTCTCCTCCCTTCTTGGCAGCTCTAAAGCCTTCCTTTTGGCTGACAGTCATGAAAAGGGTGCTTGCCAAGACCCATGGAGGAGAAAAAAAAAATAACAGGCCACAAAAAAAAAAAAAAAAAAAAAAAAAAAAAAAAAAAAAAAAAAACCCCCGCGCCCCCTAAAAGCCCTGCCTGCCCCAGGAGGAAAGAAGAACAAACAACACTTCTGGACTAAGGTCAGGACAGACTGGAAGACATGTTGGCCCACACCACAGGGACAGGAAGTTTCACTCAATGTCGTGCTGCTTTGCTCAAGGGGAAATACCACCCACCCTGAGACTTCAACTCACTGGCCTTTAGTGTCTTTTTTTTTTTTTTTAAGTTTTTTCTTTTTTAATATCCAAACCATCATTTTCAAAGAAAAAGGAAAAAAAAAAAACCTGGCTTAAAAAAAATTTTTTTTTAAAAATTGCTTCAAAACTGATGTGGCAAGCCCCAGGCTTGACCCTTCCACCTGGAAGCCTGATCTCCCACAAGTTTTGCTGCCAGAGCCTAGCCAAGTGCCAATAAGGCAACCGTCCTGCGGCTGGCTCACCTTAACCAACTCTGGCTAAGTCTGGGTGGGCACTGACTGTCAGCATCACCTGAAAAGAAAAAGGCGAACACTGCCAAGCTGTTTAAACACTTCCCACAGAGCTAACCCTTCTTGGGAATGTATAAGTTATCTGGAGGGAGAGATGGGAGGTGGAGAAAAATAAATACCCAGATCTAAGTTACTGTCCCTGGGCCTCTGGTGCCGGCTCAGCCTCTGAGGCAGCAATGGCCTCCAGGGTGAAGGCCCTGATTGTCCAAATACTCTGAGACTTATCAGAGTTTCCAGTCTCCGGCAAGTGCCTGCCCTGGGTGTATGAGGCCCAGAGGGAGAAAAGGGGCCAGCCCCTCAGTTCCTATCTTCTGCCCTGGCCCAGCTCATGCCTGGCCCGGGCTCTGCCTGGAGGGACCCGGCTGGCTGTTGTGCAGTCCCAGGAGAGCTGGACTGCCCGCTTGGCCTGAGGGCACGCTGAGGGTCCTTGCTGCTCCTGCAGGCTACACGCTCAGGCCTGCTCCTTGTCAGCTCTCCAGAGTCGCTCCTTCACCTCAGGCGGCAG